TCCCAGCCAGGACGAGAACGTGTCGAGTCCGAGCTGATCGGTCGTCAACCCTTGCGTCTTTAGATACTCTCCCCATTGCATCCGTTGAGCTGGTGGTAACTTCGTGACCAACTCGTTGCGCAATGCAGGGTTGGTCAGGTGGCCCTGGCTGTTGAGCAGCTTCATTGTCAGCACGATGTTGTTGATGGCCGTTGCCAGTCCGATCAAGCTGTCAGGGTCGTCTGCCCTCACGGGTTTGAGTGATTTGGCTTGCTCGATCAGCTCAGTGACGACGAGCTCCGGCCTGCCAAACCGTCGCTCGAGCGTCTGCACGGCCTGCTCCACATTGTCGGGCACGGAGAGCATCAGCTGTACCGCATCCCGTGCTTTGCCCTTCAGGCACGCTTGCAGGCGTTGAACGTTCTCGGCATTGCTGAATCCGCACTGCTTGGTGCTGCTCCTGTATGTGCTGATGAACGTTGGCCATTCCTCAGGTCTCCCAGAGAACGTGGGCAGCTTGGTGTTGATGGAGCTGTGTCGGGCTGCTAGCTGGTGTAGGCCAGTGTCAGAGTCAGGAGTAGTACTGTGGCTGGTGGTGGTGTTGTTGCCACTACTCCGTAGTGCTGCTGTCAAAGCACCCATAAACTCCTGTGCCATGTTGGCGATGCCTATGGTGCCCTGGCCAGTACACTGGTCTGAGTCAGCATTGCGAGCTGTACTGCTACAATCATTACTAGAGTCACTGCTGGCTGGCACGGGCACTTGACTGCTGGCCTCATCTCTGACCACTCGACTGTGACTGCCACTCATCTGACAGGCAGACAGCCCGTGCGTTACACACTTGGCACCATCACGACTGTCTGTACTATTCACGGATTGAGGAGAATTCACACGTGATGCAACTACAGCTGTGGACTCGTCACATACCTTGCTGTGTGCATGCTGCACGCGCCGCTCCATCTCCGCGAGTTCGTGCCGCGCTTGCTCCAGCTCACTGTACATGCTCTTCTCCTGTTCGTAGCTGGTTTGCAACAGGTCTCGATTCTCCCGCTGTGCGACCCTAAGCTTGCTTTCGGCGACCTCCAGCTTCTGGACGATCGATTGAGCACGGTCTTTCACCCTTCTCGACTCCTTTCGGCACTCGTTCAACTGCTCGCCGAGGTAGCCGATTTCCTGCTGGTACCTGAGTTCCTTCAGCTGGAACTCGCGTCGGAGGTGACTTTCGGCGTCCGACTCTATCTCCTGGACGTGTCCTGCTACGTCCCCGACATCTCCTGCAACCAGTCCGACGACTACTGCGTCCGGTTGAGAGTTGTCGTGTGGCTCTCCTTGTGGTGCCTCCTCGCCTGCATCAAACACTTCTGCGGCCTCCGCAAACACTTGTTGTTGCATCCCGAGAGACGGGGACCTCCCTGTCCCGGAGCCTGGCGAACGAACACTACTTGTCCTTACAAGAGTTTCCGCTGCCAATTCAGATTCTCGCAGTTCCAACTGCGCCTTTGCGACTCGAATCTCAGCTTCCAACACTGCTCGTCGCGAGCTACCACTGTGCTGGGCTGATGATGTCCGCGATCGAGCACTCACAGCTCGACTTCCATTGCCGGACGTCGGCACTGCTCCTTGCTGGTCACGATTACCTTCGACAGCTTCGGTCTCGAAACCCCATCGCTGAGGAGGTACTCCTATCGTGGAACGGCTGCTCCTACGCATACCAGGATCCGACGCCATGCCACAATCCGGCTCGAAGGACCAGATATGTTCGTATTTTCTACTCACACGCACACGAACCCTTCGAAGACTGTATATTCATGCACTCGAGTACTCATACACTCGAATCATCACACAAACTGTGGGGCTTGATCTGTCTTACAACGTTCTTGCAAGACGATACAACAACAGCTCCTGTTCTCTACAAATCCTTACACACTAAAGTACTATCAACTAAAACCAGCTAATTTATGCACAGAACATATCCTGAAAAGCAGCGAAACAAAGGAAGCCAAAGCAGCAGGCATGGAAAGATCCCGTACGCACTATGAACTCTTGCACTCTAGATATGTGCAGCGTACGATACTAGTTCAGCGGCTACTAACACTAGCATGACAGACATGAATGAAACCGCAACCAAGTGAGCGTGACACAGATTACGAAGGTAATGAAAAGAACCAGACTGTCATCGCACAACCGCCTATTGTCGGCTCACACACAGAAACCAGATAGTCTAGCAATATATGAAATGCGACGGAACAGTTTGCTTGGAGGGCGCTGGCACCCACATTCAGTGACCCAGATAATTTGGCACTGCTGTGAATAGTTTAGTCGGAAAGTGAAGATTCACGGGTAAAAAGCCTCAATTTGTGAGATAGGCTATTTTTCAGCTTTCAGCAGCGAATTCCTTAGAGACATGTGGCTGTTTTTCTTGGTGCACTTGTCTATGTCCAGCTGCACAAGGACATGATGCCGGTCATTGCCATTTTCTGAGCTGCGAATGGGCAGAAAGGTGAGAAAATGTCGTATTTTGACCATTTGTGCTGACCTTTGAATTTCATTGTACCTCTCTATAACATGACCCAGCTGCATTGTGAGCGGTCGCATTGATTTGATTTTTGGTTTGCTTGTAGGGCTCTGGCACCCACATTCAGTGACCCAGAAAAGTTGGCACTGCTGTGAATAGTTTAGTCGCAAAGTAAAGATTCACGGGTAAAAAGCCCCAATTTGTGAGATAGGTTATTTTTCAGCTTTCAGCAGCCCTGGGCGAGTTCTTTGGATAAATGTGGCTCTTTTTCTTGGTGCACTTGTCTGTGTCCAAATACACAAGCAGATAATGATGGTCATTGTCATTTTCTCAGCTGTAAACGGGCAGAAAGGTGGGAAAATGTCGGACTTTGACCATTTGTGCTGACCTTTGAATTTCAATGTACCTCTCTATAACATGACCGAGCTGCATTATCAGCGGTCGCATTGATTTGATTTTTGGTTTGCTTGGAGGGCGCTGGCACCCACATTCAGTGGACCAGAAAACTTGGCACTGCTGTGAATAGTTTAGTCGCAATGTGAAGATTCATGGGTAAAAAGCCCCAAACTGTCAGAAAGGTTATTTTTCAGCTTTCAGCAGCCCTGGGCGAGTTCTTTAGAGAAATGTGGCTCGTTTTCATGGTGCACTTGTCTATGTCCAGCTACACAAGGACATGATGACGGTCATTGTCATTTTCTGAGCTGCGAACGGGCAGAAAGGTGAGAAAATGTCGTATTTTGACCATTTGTGCTGACCTTTGAATTTCAATGTACCTCTCTATAACATGACCCAGCTGCATTGTCAGTGGTCGCATTGATTTGATTTTTGGTTTTCTTGGAGTTCGCTTGCACCCACAGTTAGTGACCCAGAACATTTGGCACTGCTGTGAATAGTTTAGTCGCAAAGTGAAGATTCACGGGTAAAAAGCCCCAATTTGTAAGATAGGTTATTTTTCAGCTTTCAGCAGCCCTGTGCGAGTTCTTTAGAGAAATGTGGCTCGTTTTCTTGGTGCACTTGTCTATGTCCAGCTACACAAGGAGATGATGATGGTCAATGTCATTTTCTGAGCTGCTAACGGGCAAAAGGTTGAGAAAATGTCTGGTTTTGATCATTTGTGATGACCTTTGAATTTCAATGCACCTCTCTATAACATGACCCAGCTGTAATGTCAGTGCTCGCATTGATTTGATTTTTGGTTTGCTTGGAGGGAGCTGGCACCCAAATTCAGTGACCCAGAAAATTTGGCACTGCTGTGAATAGTTTAGTCGCAAAGTGAAGATTCACGGGTAAAAAGCCCCAAACTGTCAGATAGGTTATTTTTCAGCTTTCAGCAGCCCTGGGCGAGTTCTTTAGAGAAATGTGGCTATTTGTCTTGGTGCACGTGTTTGTGTCCAGGTACACAAGGAGATGAGGATGGTCATCGCCATTTTCTGAGCTGCGAACGGGCAGAAAGGTGAGAAAATGTCGGATTTTGACCATTTGTGCTGACCTTTGAATTTCAATGTACCTCTCTATAACATGACCCAGATGTAATGTCAGTAGTCGCATCGATTTGACTTTTGGTTTGCTTGGAGGGCGTTGGCACCCAAATGCAGTGATCCAGATAATTTGGCACTGCTGTGAATAGTTTAGTCGGAAAGTGAAGATTCACGGGTAAAAAGCCTCAATTCGTGAGATAGGCTATTTTTCAGCTTTCAGCAGCCCCGGGTGGGTTCTTTAGAGAAATGTGGCTCTTTTTCTTGGTGCACTTGTCTATATCCATCTACACAAGGAGATGAGGATGGTCAATGTCTGTTACTGAGCTATTAACGGGCAGAAAGGTGAGAAAATGTCGGATTTTGAACATTTGTGCTGACCTTTGAATTTCAATGTACCTCTCTATAACATGACCCAGATGTAATGTCAGTAGTCGCATCGATTTGACTTTTGGTTTGCTTGGAGGGCGTTGGCACCCAAATGCAGTGATCCAGATAATTTGGCACTGCTGTGAATAGTTTAGTCGGAAAGTGAAGATTCACGGGTAAAAAGCCTCAATTTGTGAGATAGGCTATTTTTCAGCTTTCAGCAGCCCCGGGTGGGTTCTTTAGAGACATGTGGCTGTTTTTCTTGGTGCACTTGTCTATGTCCAGCTACACAAGGACATGATGACGGTCATTGTCATTTTGTGAGCTGCGAACGGGCAGAAAGGTGAGAAAATGTGGGATTTTGACCATTTGTGCTGACCTTTGAATTTCATTGTACCTCTCTATAACATGACCCAGCTCCATTGTGAGCGGTCGCATTGATTTGATTTTTTGTTTGCTTGTAGGGTTCTGGCACCCACATTCAGTGACCCAGAAAAGTTGGCACTGCTGTGAATAGTTTAGTCGCAAAGTGAAGATTCACGGGTAAAAAGCCCCAATTTGTGAGATAGGTTATTTTTCAGCTTTCAGCAGCCCTGGGCGAGTTCTTTGGATAAATGTGGCTCTTTTTCTTGGTGTACTTCTTTGTGTCCAAATACACAAGCAGATGAGGATGGTCATTGTCATTTTCTCAGCTGTGAACGGGCAGAAAGGTGGGAAAATGTCGGATTTTGACCATTTGTGCTGACCTTTGAATTTCAATGTACCTCTCTATAACATGACCCAGCTGCATTATCAGCGGTCGCATTGATTTGATTTTTGGTTTGCTTGGAGGGCGCTGGCACCCACATTCAGTGGCCCAGAAAATTTGGCACTGCTGAGAATAGTTTAGTCGCAAAGTGAAGATTCACGGGTAAAAAGGCCCAATTTGTAAGATAGGTTATTTTTCAGCTTTCAGCAGCCCTGCGCGAGTTCTTTAGAGAAATGTGGCTCGTTTTCTTGCTGCACTTGTCTATGTCCAGCTACACAAGGAGATGATGATGGTCTTTGTCGTTTTCTGAGCTGCTAACGGGCAAATAGTTGAGAAAATGTCTGGTTTTGACCATTTGTGCTGACCTTTGAATTTCAATGTACCTCTCTATAGGGTAGGACTAAAGGGACAAGCCCAACTTTTTTTGCAGTTTTCTGTCATAAAAAAATAAACGTCACAGGCGTCCGCGTCGGAGCGGTCCGGGCGAGCGACCGCATCTCAGTGGGACACTTGTCCGTGGCCGTTGTACTGGAAATCTGTGGCAGAACCTTGCCATGCCAGAGGCTACACACACCCGGGTACCTATACCGGGATAGACAAATCCTTGGTGTTGCTCCTTTCATTTTTATTTGTTCTTGCTGAGAAAGAAACGTTGCTGCTTGGAAAGCTTTCTGTTCACTCCAGCGACTTTCCTCTAGTAACGTTGCTCACTGATAATGATCATAGCTCGTGATACCAATGGTGAAGAGAAGCTGGGTTTCTTGCCATTTGCAACTTCCTGGCTCTGAAAATATAGCTTGAACAAATAAGAGCTCCAAATATTTTAGTTTTAGATTTCGATGTGCCAGACCTATCGTTACGAGATGCAGAGATGAGGAGCAAGGGAGGCGTTGGATTAATGCCAATAATGGTGTTTATGGCCCAGACAACGCCAGCGATTTTCACTTGTCAAGAGGACAGTCAAGTTGGAGCAGGCAGATGACAGATTATTTGAGCATTTATAGCGGAGTGGGTGGTTTGCTAAAGAGAATCGTCTCAGTACCTCATGGTTACTAGTATCTGACAAATGCCTCTTATTGCTAGTCTGCATTAGAGCATAGCAGAATTGATCATGTCACAAGTAGTGTCAAGACTTGATGTCCTACGATTATACTCAGATCATGTTGTAACTTCACGGGAATATCCGTCCTGCCACTTTACGCTCTCCCAAAATTGCCTGCAGGAGTCACGTGCCTGTGCAAGGGACAATGCGTTTGCATTGCTTACGGATGCAAGCGGATGGAGTGTAGACCAGATGAGAAAAAGTGATCCGGATATTCAACTAGCTTGGACCGCCATTATAAATTTGCCTGATGCCTGGACTATCTGAACATTGCTCCAAACCAATCCACAGAAGCAATACCCACACAGGAAGCCAAATGATAAACCCATTCATCAGCTATCGAACCTTTCATCAAAACATAATGCAGTGCATGCCTACTACTACTCAAACGAGATCAACGGATGCCACATGCCACACAGATACAACGTGGAGGCTCAGTATTTTCAAGACCCCGTGCAGTCTACACAACTAGAACAACGAGGTTTGCACCTAATGTCCCTCGATTTGCTTGCCGTATTTAGTTCCTTGCAATTGAAGCAAGCCGTATCCGAGAACCGATCACTGAGTTTGCAGTGTCGTCGTCGCGTGTATGTTGCCGTGGTGCTCTCTACCCTCCTGTACGGCGCGGAGACCTGGACAACGAAGGCTCCGGACCTACGACACCTCAACCTTTTCCACCATCAATGTGTCAGATCTATCGTTGGAGTGTCGCGACGGCAGCAATGGGAGACCCACGCAACGTCCTCAGCCCTTGCAAAGACCCTTGGAGTGCCTGAGGACATTGGTCACATCATACGGGAATGACGTTTGCGCTGGCTTGGACACGTGGCACGGAGGGAAGATCACCGGTTGCCGAAGTGTGTTCTCTTCGGTGAACTGCCTGCCCCGCGCCCCGCGCGTGATCCACGGAAGAGGCGGAGGGACGTTGTTATGCATGACTTTGCGTCGGTTGAGCCACCGGTACCAACATGTGGATGGTAAATGCAGCCCAGAACCATCCGGAGTGGCGTGCCATTGCCCGTCGACCACACAAGGCACCCTCTGCTGCTGGCTACGGTTGCGCCTGCGGCCGCATGTTCCGTCGAAGCGGCGACCTGAAACGCCATCAGTCATTCTGTCGTGGACTGGAGAAATAACAATGCGGTATCTTTGCTACGCAATGGGCAAGGTCAAGGTGTGTTTATGGTGGTACAGGTAATGCTATGTACGCCTCTTTGGTCGCTCACACATTATCCATTGCCGGCATTGGTTACACGTTATTATCAATTTGTTATGACCTTCGCTGGTCTGCACACCCACCCACTCTACTCTCTACTCTACTCTCTGAAGTTGAGACTTTCGTTTGCCATTTCATCCAGTAGTTTGACTCTCTGAGAATATCCCTGCTACATGTATATGTATAATATAATTTATACTTTACAATTATCCTTGTCTTATCTATCTTCTTGACACCATGACTTTCTTTGAAGGTCTTGTAGCTATGAAATGTTATTTGCTGCAGGCCATGTGTGTGTGTGTGTGTGTGTGTGTGCATCCGTGAATGTCCCACGCTTGGCCCGTGGGTAAATATACAGTCATGTATATGTTATGTGCCACACCAATTTCGCTATCTGTATAATATTATGCAGCACAGTGGCAGGCATAGAGAGAGAGAGAGAGACGTTTTAATGTCTCTGATGTGAATTCTTCACTACTACATAATCTACATTGTACTTGTATGATCGAGCGAATGAGTGTGTGTGTGTACTTGTATGATCGAGCGTACAAGTGTGTGGGTGTGCATTTGCAGATTTGGTGCTTCTCTTGCGACGGGCGTATACATGGTGTGTGTGTGGGTGCATCCGTGAATGCCCCACGGGTGGGTAAATATACAGTCATGTACGTGTTCTGTGCCATTCAATTTCACTAACTGTATATGCAGCACAGTGGCAGGCATAGAGAGAGAGAGAGACAGAGAGATACGTTTTAATAATGTGTCTGAGGTGAATTCTTCACTACTACATGTACTTGTATGATCGAGCGTACGGATGTGTGTGTGTGTGTGTGTGTGTGTGTGTGTGTGTGCGTGCGTGTGAATGTCCCACGCATAGCCACGTGCGCGGTACCACACAATTTCATTATGTGTAGAACAGCGGCTGGTAGAGAGATAGAGACAGACAGACAGACACAGAAAGACAGAAACGGAGGGATGCTGCGCATAAAGAGCGACAGACAGAGACTCAGAGAGAAAGAGACCAAGACAAAGCACAGACTGAGGAGAAAACAGACAGAGACAGACAATCAGACGCAGAAAGACCGAGACAGAAACAGAGGGACGCACATAATGAATGACAAAAGGAGAGACAGACACAAAGACACAGAGAGCCAGAGACAGAGGGTCCTTAGGGAAAGACAGAGAGAAAAAAAACTGAGAAAGGGAGAGGCAGATCGAGAAGGAAGAAGACACAGAGACTGAGAGAGGGACAAAGAAAGACAGAAGAAGAGAAGCAAACGGAGAAACAGCAACATAAGTACAGGGCCAAGAAGACAGACAAACATAGAGAGACAAGCATAGAGAGACAAGCAGAGACAGACCAAGACAGGGAGACAGCTGGAGAGTTACACAGACAAACACAGATAGGCCGAGACGAAGATTCAGAGAAACACAGAGAGAGAGAGAGAGAGAGAGAGAGAGAGAGAGAGAGAGAGAGAGAGAGAGAGAGAGAGAGAGAGAGAGAGAGACGAAGAGAAGAGAGAGAGAGACACGCGCACACGCACGCACGCACACACACACAGAAACAGAGAGAGAAAAGTGACAAAGTAAGAGACAGAGAAAAGTGACCGAGTGAGGGACAAAGAGAGACACACAGAGAAAGACTGAAGAAGAGAAGCAGACAGAGAAACAGAGACAGACAGATGGAGACAGAGAAACAGAAAGGAAGACAGACAGACAGACAGACAGATGGACAGACAGACAGGGACAGGCACACGGACAGAACGAGATAGGCAGACAGCTAGAGAATGACAAAGACAGGCATACAGAAAAATCAAGACACAGACAGAGACACATAGACACAGAGAGAGAGAGGCAGACAGATAGATAGATTAATAGAATATAGAGACAGACAGACAGAGAAACATGTGGAGACACACAGATACGAGAGATTTCGTTCGTTGGATTTCTAATACTGAAGTAGTATAATACAAGTAGGTAGCAGCATAATGCACACAGATCTAGAGTGCTGAGAGTTGTCGAATGCGGCGAAAGCAAAGTGTAGTAGACACTACTGTACAGGAGTGAAGCAAAGCTGATTTGTTGTAATGCTGCCTGACTGCTTGCCTGTGTGCAATAATGAGGTGAACTCATAAAACAGTGAGCCGAAAAAAATACGATTAAAAAGCCGATTCACAAACCAGGTAAAGACAGGAAGAGAAGGAAAGATATGTGCGCATATACCCTGCACCCGTGCACGCACACACACACACACATACACACAGAAGGGAGTTGATAGGTGGAGAATTGCGAAAACAGGGGACCCAGTGTGCCCTCAAGGAGATAAAGAGATAGAGATAGATAGAGAGATATTTTTGGCACAGTATATTCGGCCCTGGTTTAAATATGGCTTTGGAATTTATTTTTCATTGCAATCAGGTTCGGCCTCATTTCTCTGTGCTGTGCTAATGAGTCCACAAAGGACGAAACAGTTCTGTCCCCAGATTGGATAGATAGATATAGATGAAGATAGAGAGAGAGAGAGAGGGGGGGGGGAGAGAGAGAGAGAGAGAGAGAGAGAGAGAGAGAGAGAGAGAGAGAGAGAGAGAGAGAGAGAGAGAGAGAGAGAGAGAGAGAGAGAGAGAGAGAGAGAGAGGGAAAGAGAGAGAGACATAGGCAGCTGTCTTGGTCATTATCATCCGATGTATTCCGTGTGGCGTAGACCAGGTGTGCATTGAGAATCCTTTCACAAGGCATCGCAATAATTATATTTACGGAATTGGGCAGTAATGCGGTGCTAGTCTTGATATGTTTCACTCAGGTCATGTCTGATATCGTTGGCATAAGAGAAAATCAGTGGGTGTACATCCACTGCACTTGCAAACTTGCGTGTCTCTCTTGCGACGAATGCACATGGTACTTGATGTCTGTGTCAATTGGCTCATTCTGTGGGCGAGTGGTTACTGCCTGAGTTCAATGTCGGAAAAGGTAAGTAGCTCTAGGTGCAGTATAGAGAAAATTATGCCAAATACGCGGTCATTAGGAGAGACTATACCAGCAACTTCGACTCATATACTTCAATATCTAATTGGATCTGTATAGAAGACGCTGCTCAGTGGTATTGGAGTTGTGGTTGATCAACAGCGTATCTTTTAGGTACATGTGGCATCCATTGGTCTTGTGTGAGTGACACTAGGCATGCAACCGGACAACGTTGGTGAAAGGTTTCATTACCAAAGAACTTGATTGGTTTGCCATTTAGCTTTCTGTGTGGCGTCACATCGTTTCCGTGGACTGGTTTAGATTCTTGCCCACGTTTCCAGGAGTCCAGCCAATTAATAGCAGCCGAAGCTATTTGAATAGCCAGACGTTATGTCTTCTTATCTGCTCTGCACTCCATCCGCTTGCATCAGTAAGCAATGCAAACACGTTGTCCCCTGCACAGGCATGTGACTTCTGCAGGGAATTCCGGGAGAGCGTAAAGTGGCAGGACGAATTACCGTGAAGTTGCCACATGATCTGAGTACAATCGTAGCACATCAAGTCTTGACACTACTAGTACTTGTGACATGATCAATTCTGCTATGCTCTAATGCAGACTAGCAATAAGAGGCATTTGTCAGATACTAGTAACCATGAGGTACTGAGATGATTCTCTTCGGCAAGCCACCCACTCTGCAAAAAAATGCGCCAAAATTAATAATCTGTCATCTGCCTGCTCCAACTTGACTGTCCTCCTGACAAGTGAAAACCGCTGGCGTTGTCCGGCCATAAACACCATTATTGGCATCAATCCAACGCATTAATCCAACGCCTTCGTTGCTCCTCATCTCTGCAGCTCATACCAATAGGTCTGGCACGTCGAAAAACTAAAATACTCGGAGCTACAAGCTACATTTTCAGAGACAGGGTTGCAAATGGCAAGAAACCCAGCTTCCCTTCACCTTTGGCATCACGAGCAATGACCATTTATCAGCCAGCAATGTTTTACTAGAGCAAAGGCGCTGGCGGGAACAGAAACAGCAACGTTTCTTTCTCAGCAAAAACAAATAAAAAGGAAAGGAACAAAAAAGGATCAACACCAGGGATTCGTCCATACCCGGTACCCAGGCCAGGTGTGTACTACTACTACCCCTGGAAAGGCTCTCCCACAGATTGCAGTACAAAAGCCACGGCCAAGTGTCCCACTGAGGTGCGGTCGCTTGCCCGGACCGCTGGGACGCGGACACCTACGAAGAGCAGCCTGTGACGTTTATTTTTTATGACAGAAAATCCGCAAAAAAAGTTGGGCTTGTCCCTTTAGGCTTTCGCCTCTCTATAACATGACCCAGCTGTAATGTCCGTGCTCGCATTGATTTGATTTTTGGTTGGCTTTGAGGGCGCTGGCACCCACATTCAGTGACCCAGAAAATTTGGCACTGCTGTGAATAGTTTAGTCGGAAAGTGAAGATTCACGGGTAAAAAGCCTCAATTTGTGAGATAGGCTATTTTTCAGCTTTCAGCAGCCCTGGGCGAATTCTTTAGAGACATGTGGCTGCTTTTCTTGGTGCACTTGTCTATGTCCAGCTACACAAGGACATGATGACGGTCATTGTCATTTTCTGAGCTGCGAACGGGCAGAAAGGTGAGAAAATGTCGGATTTTGACCATTTGTGCTGACCTTTGAATTTCATTGTACCTCTCTATAACATGACCCAGCTGTAATGTCAGTGGTCGCATCGAGTTGACTTTTGGTTTGCTTGGAGGGCGCTGGCACCCACATGCAGTGACCCAGATAATTTGGCACTGCTGTGAATAGTTTAGTCGGAAAGTGAAAATTCACGGGTAAAAAGCCTCAATTTGTGAGATAGGCTATTTTTCAGCTTTCAGCAGCCCTGGGCGAATTCTTTAGAGACATGTGGCTGTTTTTCTTGGTGCACTTGTCTATGTCCAGCTACACAAGGACACGATGACAGTCATTGTCATTTGCTGAGCTGCGAACGGGCAGAAAGGTGAGAAAATGTGGGATTTTGACCATTTGTGCTGACCTTTGAATTTCATTGTACCGCTCTATAACATGACCCAGCTGCATTGTGAGCGGTCGCATTGATTTGATTTTTGGTTTGCTTGTAGGGCGCTGGCACCCACATTCAGTGACCCAGAAAATTTGGCACTGCTGTGAATAGTTTAGTCCCAAAGTGAAGATTCACGGGTAAAAAGCCCCAATTTGTGAGATAGGTTATTTTTCAGCTTTCAGCAGCCCGGGGCGAGTTCTTCAGAGAAATTTGGCTCTTTTTCTTGGTGCACTTGTCTATGTCCAGCTACACAAGGAGATGAGGATGGTCATTGTCATTTTTTGAGCTGCGAACGGGCAGAAAGGTGAGAAAATGTCGGATTTTGACCATTTGTGCTGACCTTTGAATTTCAATGTACCTCTCTATAACACGACGCAGCTGCATTGACAGCAGTCGCATTGATTTGATTTTTGGTTTGCTTGTAGGGCGCTGGCACCCATATTAAGTTACCCAGAAAATTTGGCACTGCTGTGAATAGTTTAGTCGCAAAGTGAAGATTCACGGGTAAAAAGCCCCAAACTGTCAGATAGGTTATTTTTCAGCTTTCAGCAGCCCTGGGCGACTTCTTTAGAGAAATGTGGCTCTCCTTCTTGGTGCCCTTGTCTATGTCCAGCTACACAAGGAGATGAGGATGGTCATTGTCATTTTCTGAGCTGCGAACGGGCAGAAAGGTGAGAAAATGTCGGATTTTCACCATTTGTGCTCACCTTTCAATTTCAATATACCTCTCTATAACATGACCCAGCTGTAATGTCAGTAGTCGCATTAATTTAATTTTTGGTTTGCTATCCCGCGAATTATTATTATTACTATTTATTATTTGTAGGGCACTAGTGCTCGCATAGATTGGATTTTTGGTTTGCTTGTAGGCCGCTGGCACCCACATCGGGTTACCCTGAAAATTTGACACTGCTGTGAATAGTGTAGTCGCAAAGTGAAGAATCACGGGAAAAAGAGGTCGGTGTGAGTTTCTGAGCTTCGAACGGGCAAAAAGGTGAGGAAATGTCAAACTTTCGACCTGTTGTGCCCATCTTTCACGCTTCAATGTACCTCTCTATACCATGACCCAGCTCTAATGTCAATTGTCACATTGATTTGAGTTTTGGTTTGCTTGTAGGCCGCTGGCACCCACATGCAGCGACTCAGAAAATGTTGCACTTTTGTGAATAGTTTAGTCGCAAAGTGAACAATCACGGGACAAAGCTCCGAACTTGGAAATAGGTTATTTTTCAGCTTTCAGCAGCCCTGGGCGAATTCTTTAGAGAAATGTGCCTCTTTTTCTTGCTGCACTTCCAGCTATACCCAGCTGTAATGTCAGTGGTCGCGTAGGTTTCATTTTTGGTTTGCTTGTAAGTTGCTTGATCATTTTTGACAATGTGTGTCATTTCTGTTGCGCATTTCCCTTTTGTGGTGTCAGATAGAGTTCATTCACAACTAGCAAGGAGGACAACAAACGAAGAACAACATTCCAAGCAGTGTGCGAACACAAAAGGGAAGTGTGTACGAACACCAAGGAAAGTGTGTACGAGCGCATATGGAAGCAGGAGCTCTAGGCGGGTGCATACGGGGTGCGGGAGTTGCACCATATACGGAAGTATGCCATATACATCATGCCCCTCCTAAGATAAAAACGTACAAGTGTTTATCTAATCAACAAAAATAATGTGAAAATTGCATGTGCGTAGCAAATGACATGTCGCGGAGCAGCAGCAACTTCCAACAGACTTGTAAAAGGGATAATTGCAAAAATTATATACATGAAGGTTTTCAACTGCGAAACAATGGGAATGACAATTGAATAGGTACAATGGACATCAACAACTGAACAGAGCGAGTGTTAATTGTACGATTGTCCACGCGTTGAAATAATGTTAAAGGGGACATTCTGTCGCCGGGGACGTTGGCTTGTTCGAGGTGGTACCTGAACAGTTGACTGTGGCGACGACTGAGTCACAGGGACTGCTTGTGGTGCAGCGTCGGGTACGGGAGACGATGCAGGCATGGCTGTTGAAGCTGGAGTAGGAGGACGGTACGGGCGGAGGTAGCGACGGTTGCGCCAATATACGCGTCCACTCGGTAGCTTGACGTAGTAGTCGCGGTGGTCACCGATAGCCACGACAACGAAGCGGGAAGACCACCGTTTTGTCTTCGGGTGCTGAATGTCAACGTGCGTCCCGATAGACAAGTGGGGGAGCTCTCGGTGAGGCTGACTGGGAGGCTGGTCTACGCGATCAACATCATCCATGTCAGATGCGGTGTCTTGCCAGTGGGAGTCGAACTGGCTCCATTGGGCGAGAACGAAGGAGACGAGTGGGCGACCATACAGTAACTGGGCAGGACTCTTTCCCGAAGTGCCAGGAGTATTGCGCCACTCGAGAAGGCCACGCTGGAAAGCATCGGTGTCTAGATTACCATCATTGGTAGTCTTTTCCACCAGGTACTTCATTGCCTTCACGGCTGCCTCCGCATGTCCGTTCGACTGTGGGTAGTGAGGGGACGACTTGATATGACGGATTCCCCAGCGCTCGCAAAATTCAGCAAATCTGTGAGACGCAAACTGAGGACCGCCGTCCGTTGAAATGACCTGTGGTACGCCTACATCTGGGAACCACCTGCGGAAATGACGAATGACGTCAGCTGACGTGGCTGAGTGACCAAGCTTGGCGATGCATGGCCATCCGGTTAAGCGGTCGACGAATACCAAATACTCGCAACCTTGGCAACTGAAAAGGTCAGCACTAACACTTTCGAATGGCAAAGTGGGCTTGCGGTCAGAAATGGGCGGTTCGGCAGACTGAGACGGCTGAAATTCACGGCATGCATCACAGCTGCGGACTAGCGTGTCTAACTCACTGTTCATTCCGGGCCAATACACTGTCTGACGGGCACGTCGTTTGGTACGGGTCAGACCTTGGTGGGCTGCGTGAAGGTCGATCAGCGTTGACGCACGCAGAGAGGCTGGGACGACTATGCGTAGACCTTTCAGGACTATGCCATTGTCGGTGGACAAATGTTCACGCACGTTCCAATACGCACGAAGAGGCTCGGGCAGCTGCTTTTGTGCTGAGGGAAATCCGTTCTGGATATACCCAAGTAGCATCTGGTAGTCAGGATCAGATGCTGCTGCGGCACGGAGCTTAGCGAACTGGAGACTCTGGGGACCATCTTGGAGTAAACAGATACGGATACTGCGGCAGGACAGTGCTGGATCTTCTCCAAGTTCATCATCACTAGTCGGGATTGATACAGGATGCCGTGAGAGGGCGTCTGCGAATACGTGCTACATCATCACCTTTGTGTGCCGATTTCAGGAATTCACGGCGGCCAATGTCCATTTTGCAGCCGTGAATAGTCGGAAAGGTGAGAAATGGTGAATTTTTTGGAAAGATGAAGGATTAGGCCATGCAATATATACAAAAAGATATGAAAAATGTAAAACACACAGCCAGTGGGGCTCTATTTTATTTTTATGCCCAGAAATTGCTATTCACCACATAGGCAGTGCCCCTGGAAATTTGACCCTGCTGTAGCTGGCTTGAGTTCCAAGTCCGGATGTACACGCAAAATGCCCCAATCTTGGAGACAGGTTATTTTCAGGGTTCAGCAGCCCTGGGCAAGTCGTTTATGACAATGTGTGTAATTTCTGTTGTGCACTGCACTCTGTGTGCCTATTGCGGGAATTCACGGCGGTCACTGCCCATGATGCAGCTGCGAACGGGCAGGTGAGAAATGGTGAATTTTGGCCATTTGTGCGCACCTGTTCATTTCAATGTACCTGTGGGTTAATGGGCCCAGCTACAATGTGGATCACGAAATTGCTTAGATTTTTGGTTTGCTAGTAGGCGGCTTACACTAGTAGGCAGTGCCCCAGGAAATTGGACCCTGCTGTAACTGGCTTGAGTTCCAAGTCCGGATGTACGGGGAAAAGCCCCAAACTTGGAAATCGATTATTCTCAGATTTCAGCAGCCCCGGGCAGGTCATTTCTGACAATGTGTGTCATTTCTGCTGTGCACTACACTTTGTATGTCTATTGCAGGAATTCATGGTGGTCACTGTCCTTGTTGCAGCTGTGGATAGTTGGAAATGTGAGAAATGGTGAATTTTTGACCATTTGTGCATACCTGTTCATTTCAATGTACCTGTGGGTAAATGGGCCCAGCTGCAATGTGGGTGCTGGAATTGCTTAGATTTTTTGGTTTGCTAGTAGGCCGTTTGCACTCGTAGTCAGTGACCCAGGAAATTTGACCCTGCCGTGACTGGCTTGTGTCCCAGCTCCGAATATACGGGGCAAAAAGCACCAAACTTGGAGATACGGTATTTTCAGGGTTCAGCAGCCCTGGGCAGGTCGTTTAGGACAATGTGTGTCCTTTCTGATGGCCACTGCCCTCTGTGTGCCGATTTCAGGAATTCACTGCGGTCACTGTCCATGTTGCAGCGGTGAATAGTCGGAAAGGTGAGAAATGGTGAATTTTTGACCTTTTGTGGGCACCTGTTCATTTCAATGTACCTGTGGGTAAATGGGCCCAGCTGCAATGTGGATGCAGGAATTGCTTCGATTTTTGGTTTGCTAGTAGGCCGCTTGCGCTCGTAAGCAGTGCTCCAGAAAATTTGACCCTGCTGTAACTGGCTTGAGTTCCAAGTCCGGATGGAAGGGGCAAAAGCCCCAAACTTGGAGAGAGGGTATTTTCAGGGTTCAACAGCCCTGGGCAGGTCGTTTATGACAATGTGTGTCATTTCTGTTGTCCACTACCCTCTGTGTGCCTATTGCAGAAATTCACGGCGTAAATGGGGCCCGCTGCAATGTTGGTGCTGGTATTGCTTAGATTTTTGGTTTACTAGTAGGCCGCTTGCACTCGTAGGCAGTGCCTTAGGAAATTTGAAAAAAAGCCCCAAACTTCTGTAACTGGCTGGAGTTCCGAGTCCGGATGCACACGCAGCCCTGGGCAGGTCGTTTATGAAAATGTGTGTCATTTCTGTTGTGTGCTATCGCAGGAATTCACTGTGGTCACCGTCCATGTTGCAGTGGTGAATACTGTAAAAGCCATATATAAAACGAAGTGCTAACTCTAACGAGTTAACGAGGAGAAATCTGTCGTTAAAATAGAAATCCTTATACTGAAATCGATACATATAATGTCCTATTCAGCATTGAGAATGAGTGAGAATCGTTACCTTTGGTACACGTAAACTAGTCAATTTTGGGAAATCGTTATATATGCGCCTCGTTAGAATAATGGCTTTTACAGTAGTCGGAAAGGTGATTGGTGAATTTTTGACCATTTGTGCGCACATGTTTTTTTAAT